CTTTGTGAAATTGTGTTTGCGATACTGCCTTCTATTTTATTGCTACATGCTAATAGGGCTGCTTCTTTACCTATGTTGTCAATGCTAAATAAGTACCATGACTGTAGCTATAGACATCAAGTTCTGTGCTGTCAATGACTCCTAAAAGATATCAATCATATCCAAAACATAACCCTTAAAATCAGAGGTCTGAGCCAGATAACAGGGCTAAAAATCTGCATGAGTATCATCCCCAAATTTGGTTTGCAAACAGGTTATCAAATATTCTTAAAAGTGTCACAAAAATCTAGGAAAAGTGCCTCAAATGCTACCTAATTCAACCTATTCTTGGAAAGATTTGGATGTAACTAAATCCAAAGGCTGGTTGGTCATTTAGTGGTAGCTTGGAGACTTACAATAAATTGGGGGAAGGAGGTTGGGGCATTACCTTCTAGGGCAGTTTATTCCTCTTTTGGTTGGTTTTCGTTGTTAGGAAGTTTCTCTTTACATCAAACCTAAATTTGACTGCAACTTCCATCCAGTATTCTTAGTTCTGTCACACAAAGTGCCAGTTTAAAAAGCTTTCATTTTGGGGGTAGCTAGGTGACGCAGTGGATAGAGCACGGGCCCTGAAGTCAGGAGGACCTGAGTTCAAATCCAGCCTCAGACCAAACACTTGACACTAGCTGTGTGACCCTGGGCAAGTCACCTAACCCCAATTGCCTAAAAAATAAAAAATTAAATAAAAAACTTTCATTTCCAAAGATTCTTAACACTGTTTCTAGATTTATCAAAGCAATTGCCCCAAAACATCTCTTTTTAAAAAGTTTTCTCATAGAAAGCATCCCCTCACCATTTATTATTTACAATGTACAAAATGCTATGCTGAGACAAATTATTTGCACAATGAGGCAGGTCTAGTTAAATTTTGTGACCTTAAATTGCTTTTATTAAATATTTCCCCCTTTAAAAAAAAGAAAAGAATGAAAGAAGTATTCTTTAGGCAACCAGCCAGAAGTTTGAATTTCATGTTTCAGTTCAAAATGTATGTCTTAATTTGGCTGCCAATTTGTACCCCAGAATCCCTTAAAGTACTAGCAGAATTTCAGCTCTGTTGAGGTACTAAAAGACAGATCTGCTTATGTTCTGTCATCACATCTTTAGATAGACAACAATTTCAGCATAACTCTTGGCATCTGTCGAAAGGTTGAATTATGTATCTGGTAAGTCTAAAAAAGTTTATTCTATCATAAATATAACTTCTATATTTTTAGGGTTTTTTTTGTAATCATCATTAGAAGGAGTATACTGATAGAAAAGATCACAGTGTTTCAAGTTTTGGAGTAATAACTGAAAAGTTATTTTCATGGAAATTCCGGATCACCTAAGATTTTTATTACAGAAGAAACTTTTTAAAAATTTATGTTATACATTAAAAATTCTACAAGTTAATCTAGGCACACTATGTAATTCTCAATACAAATTTACATATCTCGAGATGTGTATAATTTTCTATCACAATACCCAGAGCAACTGTTCCAAACCCTCTCACCTCCTAACATTTTGTCTGTCTTAAATAACCTCACCTTCTACTTTAGAGAAAATCAGGGCCATCCTTCATCACCTCTCTGGATTCCCCCCTAAACTACAATACCCCTCAATATCACCCTTATTCTCTCATTTGCTTTTATCTCTAATAAAGAGGTGGTCTTTGTCAAGTCCAGCCTTGCCCTTGTGCTTTTGATCTCATCCCACTCATTCTGTCTTTTCCAGGAGACTGTCCCCTCAGTCATCCCCTTTGTATGATCTTAAATCTCTTCTATCTACTGGTTCCTTCCTTCTCCAGTGCCTACAAACCCACCCAAGTTTTCTTTCCCCCCACCCTTAAAAATCCTTCATTTAACACTATCTCTTCAACCTGTCATCCTATATTTCACCTTCCTTTCACAGCCAAACTCCTAGGAAAAAAAAAAGCTGTCTACTGTTTTTGCTTCCCAACCTCTTGCAAATTTGGCTTCCCTCCTTATTACTCCACTGAAATTGCTTTCAATTCTCAACTAAGAGGATATCCTCTTAACTACTAAATGTAAAGGTCTTAGTGCTCATCCTTCTTGACATTGATCACCCTGGATCTTCTTCAACTCTGGTACTAAATGTAAAGGTCTTAGTGCTCATCCTTCTTGACATTGATCACCCTGGATCTTCTTCAACTCTGGACACTCCTCTCTTTCGATTCTCTTCTTACTTGTCTGACCACACTTCAGATTCCTTTGCAGGCTTACAGTGTTATATCCATCCCCATGCATGGCATGGCTGTCCCCAAGGCTTTGTCCTGGGCTCTCCCCTCTCTACAACTTCTCTCAATGATCTCATCAGTTGCCAGGAGTTCAAGATTATCACCTTTATTAATATGACTCCTAGTCCTACCCAGTCTCTCTCCTGAGCTCCAGACCTTCATCACCAAAAGCTTGCTAAATATCTCTACCTGGATATCCTATATGCATCTCAAAATCAAAATGTCGACATTAGAACCCATTATCTTCTCCTTACCCGCAAAAATTTTGTATTTCTGTTGGAGGCATTCTTTCAGTCAACTAAGTTCACAAAATCATCTTCAACTCTTCCCTTTCCCTCATCTTCCATATTGCCAAGTCTGCCCATTTCTATATCCAACTCATATCCTTCATCTGTCCTCTTTTCTCTACACATGTGGTCACCGCTCTAGTTCAGACCCTCATCACCTCTCCCTTGATCTATTCAACAGCCACTTAAATCAATCTACAGCTTCCAATCTCTCCTCCAATCTGCTATCCACATAGCTTCCAAATAATATTCCTAAAGCACATATCTGACATCATTCCCCTGCTCAAGAATTTTCAATGGTTACCTGTAGCCTCTAGTATAAAATACAAAATCCTCACCTTGGCATTAAAAGGTTTTCGTTGTGTGTAAGACATAGGGAGGAAATTTAAGTGATGTAAAAAAAAAAAGCAATAAAAATTTTTTTAAAGGTTTATACAATCTGACTCCAGTTTATCTTTCCAGGCTTGTTTCACAGTACTCTTCACCTAATCTACATTTTAGCAATTTCCCAAACTTGGAATTGTGTCCCACCTGCTTTACTTTGCAGAGGTTGTTCGGCTTCCTACGGGCATTCTCCACCCCACTAGGGCCTCTTAGCTTCATTCAAGGCTTAGCTCATGTCATACTTTGTGTGGGAAATCTTTCCTCATCCCTCTAAAGGTTTGTGCTTTCATCCTCTCCCAAAATTATCTTGTGTTTTTATTTATCTGTTTATATGTTGCATCCTCCCAACAAAACGTAAGCTCCTTAAGGACAGGGACTAATTTTCATTTGTAATTGTATCAGCACCTAGTAAAAGGAGTTACCTGATAAATAAATTTTTGTTGGTTAATTGTATTGGATGAAATCCAAACTTACTAAACCCCTGAAATACAGTTTTAAAAGACTAGGAATTTGTTATCAAAATGTTTAAGCCAAACAATTCCTTAACAAATATAACTAGATTATACCTAGCATACCTACACTACATAGTCATGGATTTAGGCTTTAAACACTTGTTCCCAATAGCCAAAAGAGAAGTCAGGAGATAGACAAGTGAAACGAACCACCATCTGGACATTGATTCACAAAAGGTATATCTAATAAATAAAGCAGGCACATCCTCCAACCTAACAATCCCACTTGTTCATATTCTCCAAAAAAGTCAAAGATAGAAACAAAGGCCCAATAAATAGTATGTCTCAAAAGTTTTAGTGTAGTTTGTTTAAACTATCAATGACTCAGACTTTTGGCACATCTTGTATATTAAAATGTTCATAGCCCCATTCTTTGTGGTAGTAAAAACCCAAAAATAGAAGGTGATCGTTGACTAGCAGGTAGGGAAAAGCCTATGTTAGATAAATGTAGAATATTACTGTGCATCAAAGTGCAAAAAAAGTTAACAGAAACATGCGATTTTTATGGTGTAGAGCAGAATAAACAGAACCAAGAATACAAGACCACAATGGCATAAATGAACAAAATTACTAAAATGAGACTGAATTTTTCAGTTATGGAATAACCAATAGTTCCTGAAGAAATGAAAAGTAAACATCACTGCCTAAGGGTGTGTGCAGGGAAGGTATTATATGGATTTCCTGACAAGATTTTTGTATTGGATTTTTAAAATACCTTTTCCATCACGGGTTTCAATCTGAAGGGCTAAAAATGTTTTGTTTCGTTGTGTTTTAATGAAATGGTGGGGAGTGGATGGGCTGCACACTAGGGGGTCTAATTTGGAATCTTCCTGGTTAGAGGAAATTCTCTGATCCATGGGCATGTAATCATTATTATGTGAAGGTTTATCTAGGCAAGGAAACCTGTTTGAAAGGCTTAATTTTAATGTATAGGGGAAATGCCTGCTTCTTTACCAATAAACTTGAAAACGACACACACACACTCACTCACTCACTCACTCACTCACTCACTCACTCACTCACTCACTCACTCACTCACTCACTCAC